ACAGATGTCTGGGCAGGCATCTCTTCTTTTTCCTGAGCAGATAAGATGTTTACTTCAGCTGGCAAGCCTCCAGAACAGAAAATGCTGTGCAGATGCCAGCCCCTAGGCATTTTGAAAGATTCTAAGATTGTTCTGCATATTCATCTTTCTAAAAAACATGAATAAGCCGTGTCTCTGCTATCCGATAGGAGTTGGCTGCAGAGATAAGAGTATTTTGTCCTGATGCTGTTACTTGGCCACTGTCACCTCTTTCTGCTTATTCTGTACATTGTAGATATGCTAATCATTTCATACAAACAAAATTAGTTGGTAATAAAGTTCAGAACTAAGGACTTTAGAGGCTAAAGATTTCCATTTCTTTAATGGTATAAATTTCAGCTTTTCTTTCTGTCACCTCCTACAGAGTGATATTTGAGGAGAATGTTCCATTGTTGATTTACTGTCAGCTTGCTAAAATCCCATAATCCAGTTTACTGACCACTATTTCAATGCATTGAACACAATCTGTCACCCAAAGCATTTATGGTCATCTCTGTTGTACTTATTGTGACTAGGAAGGAGTAGAAGAAAAAAGACTTCAGCAGCAGTGGCTTTACTTTTAGGTGAAAGTTTGATTGGACAGGAGAACTCTGATGAAGCTTTTAAGAGCTCAAGTTCTCTATGAAACCATCTGTGTATGAGACATAAACGATGGAAGAGTGAGATTTTTGCATCTCAGCTCAGCTGGTAGCTCTTTTCATCCCCTTGGAACTCGAATATAATTTGTAAGCACATGTGGAATTTTGTTTTCTCACTTTGACTTGGGCAGAAGGAGGAATCTGACCAGTGGCTCTTGCTCCTACAAGTTCTTCAGAATTCCTTAAGGAATGTAGTGCTACAAGACATGCTATTTGTGTTTGGTTTTGCAGTTTGTTGGGGTTTTTTTAACTTGTGGCATCATTTTTCTTAGAAAAGATGCACTGCTTAGGAAGAAAAGATCTCTGTCTCTGATTTGACATTGCTACAGTCAGGAATAAGGTGAGTTGGTAGGGCCAGTAGATGTGCAACATCTTGTGTCCAGTCTAGGTGGGAGGATGCAGTGATTTTACACCTGCACAAAGTAAAGAAAGACCTGTAACTCCAAGGCCATTATCTTGATACATTATCATGCCTCTGCCACCTCACCATTGCAGTGGTGCTGTTAGTCCAGGAAGAAGTCTGGTACTTCCATAGATACCCAGACCACCATGCAATTTATAAAAATGTAAAGTTAGTATTTTTCATGGGAGTTATATTTAATCTTAGCTTTTCCAGTTAAAATTTAGACTAATTTTTTTCTCTGATAGTGGTTAGAAGCTTTTTGTTTTCTTCCCTATCCCACTTTAATTTTTTTGTTGACCAACATTACAAGAATGCGATGTCATGCTTTTTCTTTAAAGGAAACTGACATAATTAAAAACAGTTTCCGTAGTTCTTTTAGGCGTTCTTCACTAGCAAGAATACAAAATGTAACTATGTAATACATAATGTATTACAAGGTTGCTTATTCATACAAGGAAAAACAAACACAACTATATTGCAGTAAGGGTTTAGGTCCTGTGCACAAGCTCATAAAAGAAATGCTTTACAGCAGTACTAAAGATTTGTACAGAAGCTTAATGATATCTGCAGGAACACACCAAATAGTGTCAAAACTGAGTGAAGGAATTAGCAAAGCTGGTATTTTCTGGACCTATTCCTCTTCATCACTGGCAAAGGAGGGGGTTAGAGATCTAAAGGCCATCACTCTTAGATGTGTTGGGTTTGCGGTTCAGTAGTGTCAGTTCTGAGTAGTATTTGGTAAAAGGGGTGGGTGAATGCTGGGCTTGTGGCCGATGTCACACCTTGTGCCAGGAGGCCAGGTGCCTTTGCAGCAGCCGCCCTGCAGTGCCAGGTGACAGGCCTGAGCAGCCGCGCCCACCTCGGCTGCCACACACTGATGGATCGGTTCCTGTGTTGCAAGAGCGTGCCTGCCTTGTTTTCCCCGTCTCACTTTCTTAATGATGACTAAAGGCCACAGAGATGGTTGAATATTGAAATAAAAATCCAGTTCCTACTTAAATACTCTGTTGAGGGGTTATTTAAATGCATTCCCCCTTTTTATTTGCAGTTGGTCTATTTCAAAATTTGAAGTGAACTTATGGCAACAATTTCTAAATTCCAAGTTTGCTATAAACTGAAGTTCAAGTAAAATTATGCTGTATTCCTGAATTACTTTCAAATATTGAAGAGTTAAAAAAAAAGTTCTATTCTTTAATGACATAAGGAATAGGAAGGTATAATCTTTGTCTTGGGATCAAGTTGCATGCCCTGTTACTGTGTTATAGGTGATTTATTACAAAGTTTTTATGAAGGTAAGGGCATACTACCTGACAGCTTTCAGCAGCATTTGAGGTGGGGCAAGATGGATGAAAATTGCAAAGCTAATTGCATTCAATAATTTCATTAGGTGAGATCTAAATTTCATGTTGCATTCTGCTATGCAAACTTAAAATATGTGTGTCAGTCGAATCCGGCCTTCTTAATTATACTAGCTGATGGTGAAGAAGACTCCTTAGGAAAATAATTGGCTTATATTCTTGATAAAACTGAAGTAAATTAGTAAACATTAGTAGCTGCTTATTTAGATCATGATTTCAAAGGAGAATTACTTGAAACGTCATGAAAATCTGTAGAAACCAGCTATAATCAGTAGCAAAGATCAGAATTTAATTAAATTGTGGATTAAACACAATGTTTGTCTTTAAAGTCCTTTGGCTCACATAATAAAGAACTACTGTAGAAGGTGGGGAATTTTTAGCCAAATTGAATTTACATATTGATAAGTCACGCCTGGACCTGCAAAAAATCCCACAGAATTTTATGATTGTTAAGTAGCTCTGCCAGGTGTCACTGACAGTAGGGCTGGCTTCAGATTTTCATCTCCCATCAAATCAGAGCTGTCTTAAGATGTGTCTTCATTTTTGATTTAAGATTTCAAATGTAAAGGAACAACTCAATTTTTTTTTTCTTTGGAGACCAAGAGCAGGAAAATATCACTAGTGCTGTGATCTCATCCACAGAAGCCAAGTCACACCTTTCCACAAGACTGAACACAAGTGATGCTCATGTTTCTTCAGGACTATTTCTCAAAAGGTTATTAGATTTCCTGTTGGTCTCACTTGCCATGCAAACACCTCCCATAAGCAGTGTGTTGGTTTCTATACCTCACTATTCCAAACAGTCCAGAATTCCTCCCTTAGTTCACAGTCAACCTCTAAAACTTCAGCCTCACAATCTAGACAAAAGATCTTTTTCTCTTTTGTAACAAGCACGAATGTCAGAATTTTAAGACTGTTCCCTGTACATTTCAAATTGAGGACAAGCACACTGCTGTGTTTGGCTACAGTAAAAGTATGAAGAAATTAAGAGTACCAAATTGCCTTAAAAGATAAGACTCTTTGAACAGGCTACTTACAACTGACATGATCCAAAAATGTCTTCCTTCTAAGAACTACAAATGTCCCTTCAGCAGAAATAGTGCCAGGAACTAGATTGTGCCTTGTAATCTTTGGGCACAAAGGAGCTGCAACAAGGTTCTTCACAATCCAATCTTTCTTCCCTCTGTTTAAGGAATCAAAAAATACTACAGTGTGTGACAGACATAAAAGCAGCAGTGGCTGCAGTAAGTGGCCAACAGGTGACACCAACAGAACCACTTATAGCGTAGCCAGTTCTCTTCCAGCTGGGAAACATCTCCCAAAAAAGGTGCTAGCCATGCTAGCCAGTGAAACTGAGAATCATCTTCACAGATTTTTTTACAGAGGAACATATTCTCTTACAAAGGAAATTGTAACCATAACCAAAAAAATTTTATAGTAAGTACTCTTCACCAAGCTGTTAGTGCAGGGGTACTAAAGTATTTCTTAACATGGGGAAAAGTGAGAGTAGTCAACCTGTGAGACTAGAATTTTATTGTTCATAGGTCAATACATAAACATAACATATTTGCCAGAAACTGAAAATATGAGCTGCTGACATTAGGCCAAAATTTTCAGGGCCCAAGAACTCCCCTTTTATTCCAACAAATAACAACAGAGTCTGGAAAGTATAAATTTCTTACTGTTAAATCAATTTCATTGTTAGGGAACATTCCTTTTAGATCAAGTTTAACATACCAATTTGAGGAAGAGTTAAACAGACTAAATCACATAACACTATGGCAAATTTATGGTCCTGGGGTTTACAGTATACCATCCTCAATTCCCAGTTTCTGTGTCAATTGCACAAGCTTCCAAGAGATGACCACTAGCAGCTCTTCTGGACAGACCTTCATCTGCAGTCCAGGAATTTAGCCACCAGAAGAAAGACACAGCTATATTGCCATTCAACAGTTTTATAAATCTAGTATCAAAATAAGCTAGCTATTATAGCCAGTCAACATTAAAGCAAGTAATTCTCATGTGTACTCCAGAAGGAGACTGAAGTTCATACAGGACAAATGCTGCATAGTTCCCACATCTTGTCTCCTTTATATTTTTTGGTCAGCCAACCTGTCAAATCCTGCTTAAACTTTTCTGAAATTTCTGCCCAGGTCACAGTCATGATTGCATTTAGGGGCATATGCAATTTATTCAGTTATTCTGAAGACGTCACTAAAATAACATTTATGAAACTTAACTGAAAATTGATGCATCTAAGCGGCATTTCATGAAGTAGCTTGCCTATGGGATACCAGTTCAAAAATTACTTCCTTTAGTATGCAACAACGGTAAAAAAAAAAAAAAAGAAAGTAGAGTTGAACTGCCATCAAACTTAAAAAGTAGGTACGACTATTTCATTCATATATTAAAAATAATTTACTTTCCCAAAATAATTTACAATTAGAAGCAGTTCAGACTATTTTAAACACAGAGCTGGAAAGTGTTTGAAGAAAAACTAAGACTGAATCACATTGCACTGAACCAATATGCTGAAATGCTTTAAAATTCTCACTTGGAGCATTACTGCTTAAACCATGAATGTTTATTTAATATGTGCACTAGGTAGGCTGTCAGACAGTTGCAAAGGTGAGTCTCTGTTTACTTTTTCCTGCCACCTCCACCACTTGCAAGCATGGTGGCCACTCGGATGAAGATGTTCAGTGTATCGGTGTAGATACCCAGGCATCTAGGACACAAGAAATCACAGTTACTCCTGCTGAACAGACAATTATTTGGTGCTTCACACTATCATACTTCATTTTAAGAGCCTGCATGAACTATCTTTACAAAACTCAGCTGTGACTATCCTCAAAGAACACAGGTATTTTGCTCTACCAGCTCTGCCAGCAAGAACTGTTTATAGAAATCCTAACCGATAGTATACTACTCCCATACAGGAGCCTCTGCTTTTACACTGAACTTTGATCTGTTTATCTCCAAGAATTCTTAAGAAGCTCAGTATTACGCTAATTAGACTAGAACAGAACCAATGAGGTAAGAATTCACCCAGGATCAGATAGACATTTACAAGAAAGCTATTTGTTAGTCAGACTTGGTCTTTACTGAGAGTCAATGCTTCCTTCCCTATCTATCATACCATTGCAGCTTTTTTATTTAGTGACAAAGACTAATAAATATTAAATGACTATGGGAAGATTAACTTTTTTTGTTTCAACTCATACTGACAGTTATTTTCAGAAAGCAGCTATAAATTCTGCCAGCAATGCTTTAGAAAACAAAAATACATTTTAGAATGTATTGCTGCAGGCATATGACACCACACATTCAATTGTGTTTCTCACAATCCTCATGATTACAATTTTAACTTCAGTAGCTATTTTCTCACTGTTGTTTTCAAACCCTGTGATTCTTCACATTTAACAGCAATACACTTTCAAACAATAAACAAAAGGCTATTTTTAAAGCATGCTTCAATCTAATTTGAGGCAAATTCTTACCCAGTGACATGGTTTAACATAGCTTAGTTTTGAGTTAAAGAGGAAAATCTCTCAGTTAGGAGGTGACTGCACACAGCCACTGAGATGAGCTGTGCTAACAGAGAACACTTACGCATTGATGGGGTCGTATTTGGCCACTCCATAGACAGGCAGAGTTTCAGCCCGTTTGACCACCAGCTGTGTATCATAGAGCAGGAACATGCCAAACAGCACCAGGCCACCATAGACCGCCACTGAATACAAGCCAGCGCCAAAAGCAGAGGTGGGAGGCAAGAACATGGACCCTGGAGAGGAATGTGCAACAGTGTTAAAGGAAACTGTGTGTATCTGCTATTCTGAGTCAGGTCACACACCAGTCACTGGAGCACACACTTTTCAGTAAGTGTTCAATTCTCAATTTGTGGTGTGTGTTTGATACCAAGAGCTTTGCCATGGACACTGAAGATGTCACATACACAACCTGATCCATTCATTTTGAACACCCCAGGGAACTGTGCATTTTTCTTCAGGTGAAAGTACCTGTGACTACAACAATGACTAAAACACATGAAGGAAAACAAGTGGATCAAGAACTAAGACCACATTTAATGCCTTTCCCTGCTCACTGGCAGTATCTAAAATATAAGGCACCCCTACTGGCCGTTTGTCAGACTAACATCTGTCAGAACCGTAACTTCATATTTGTTTTCAAGAACAAATATGACAGAATATTTTCTGCTGTGCTGGAGTTGCAAGGGCTATATTACAGGCAAATCTTCACTGGGCAGACCAGCATGCAACTGACTGCGAGCTGCACCACGGTAACTTCAGTTCACAACCTACTTTATAGGACAGTATTGAAACAGTATCTTACCGATTGAAGAAGCAATAACAAAGCCTAAGCCTATGCCAAGCGGTCCTCCCATGTTCAGGAATTTTTCACTCGGAGCACACATGGCCACAGTTGAGAGCCCCCCAACAATTCCAGCAGTGTACCAAGCAGCTCTGATGAGCAGAGGACCACCAAGGAAGGCCAGAGGAGCCACCACTGCACCCATGACACCTAGGCAAAGCAAAACAGAACACATGAAAGACTTGGAACACCACATGCCAAACCCACTTGATTTTTCCATCTCCACAGTCAGATGCATGGCTCAAACTAATCCACACCTAAAAAAACACCAATGTACTTGATTGTGCTCTTATCTAGAAGGGAGCACAATAAATTAGCAACCTTAAATTCCACAATGTATTTTTATTTAGCACTAGAATACTTTAGGGAACTCATCTTGGGAAAAAAAAGACTAACAAAAGTCAACATATTGATTGGCTCAGAACAGAGCTGGTAAGAAGAGATATTTAACATGGACTGATCAACTACATAATAGCACTAGGAGCACGCAACACTGAAAAACAGGACAGATTTCTGATCCAACAATTAGTTAGGGAAGTAAGTCAGATTTTTTTGCTAGAGGCTTGTAGGAAACATGTATCTAGCCCATTAATATCTCATTAGGTTGTTTCACTTAATAACAATCACTACAATAAACATAACTTCTTCTTGGTAGACATGTTAGCTCTGGAGAAGCAAATATGATTTCAGTGCCCAGCATCCACATGTGTTTTCTGAACTATAAAATATTTCTGGCAAAACAGTTTTGAAAAACGAGAGCCATTGTTATTTGAAGTAGGCATGATTAGTGAGAAATTGATCTGTACTAACAGCTTAAACACCTGAGGGACACACATCTCAAAAGTAAACTAATACTAAAATCTCTTTTTTTCTAATCAGGCTTTCAAATACCTCCTGTTCTGCACAGCTGAATAATGGTTAATGTAGGCAAGTGCACGTGTAGAAGTGGACGTCACAAAACCAAAGCAGCCATGAAACCATCTAGTTCTATTCAACGTGGAGTACACATACCTCAAGTTTAAATTGAGCATGACTTTTAGAAGACTATGAAAAACACTAGAGGACACTTAAGACACCTTTCCCTGACATTTAGGTGTTTTTGATGATCTCTGAAAAATCTCAACTCCCCCTAGAGCAGTCAATAAAAATTTACTTTAAAGTCAGAGTTTTGTTAAACCAAGCATCTGGTCACACTGAAGCACAGACATCTCTACAACAAACACTAAAACCACATACCTGAATGCATCATCCATGCTGCATGTTTAGCTACTGGATTATTTTCATAGGATATGGTCCTGACCAACATTCCAGCACCAATCATGGCTGCAAAAGTGGCACCAATTGCCTGAAGAAAGAGCATTACAGAGCTCAAGTTAGCATATGGACATATGGTCTGTGTTCTAATCTCCTAGTCTAAGAGTCAACACTGATTCTGAAAACAGCAACCTAATTCACAACTGGAGTATTCATTGACTTTACTCCTGTAAAGTTACAGTCAAATCTTTGCAGATCTTACCTTGCAATAATTTTAATTTATTTTTACTCAGTTTTCTAGAAATGCAAACTTAACAATTAAGTTGGCAACTCTCCTGGCTGTGTAAAGTAGGAAAAGGAAAACCTATGGTTCTGCCCCTCACTCTCATTAAGGTACCTGAAATGTGTTAGCTTTTCTTGTACATTTCTCCACCCAAAACTAACACTTAAGTTTACAGGGTTTTGCTACCAATTATTTTTTAACCTCAGTGTCTCTTCTTACTCATAGTTCCCAGCAGAATCATTCAACACCTACCAGACTGGTGAGAAGTGTACAACTTTTATCACCAATGATGCTTTATCAAATTCATCTCCCTAAGTTGTGTCGTGTGTTGGCATTGTTTCACTCCACTCAACAGACAATAAATACCTACTAAGCTTTCAAAGTGCTACATGGGAGAGCACAGGGAGGAGTAAGAATGCAAAGGGACCTCAGTTTCTATTTACAGACAGCAACAGAAACTGTGCCATTAGCTTTAGGTAGCTATTTCTAGGAAGTTCTTACTTGCACATATACAGCTGGTAAGGATGCCATAGCATTCTTTTGCTCACATAGTTTGTCTTTGACAAATCATCAAAGCAGTATAGAAAAAACATGTTAGAACATGACTAGAATGACCAAATCTTACATCACAAACTATCAGGATACCTTTATGGATAATGACACTAAGGTAGGTTAAGTTTTGCCTTACTTCCACCAAGTAGTTTACATTTATCTTTTTTTTTTTTTTTTTATATATCAATCATAATCATAATTTGGGGGCATTTCTCAGCAAATACTTTTATTTTTATAATAAAGCTTACCAGCCAGGAGCCCTTTGTCATGAGGTTCATGAATGCAGGAGATCTGCTCACTGCTGCAGCAGACAGAGCTGTCATGCCAATGCTGCCCGCAAAGTACATGTAGGTAGACTGAATTCTGTCCTTCACATACTGTGGCCAAATACTGAAAAATAAGCAGTCATACAGAGCTGTGCAGTTACCAGGTTTGGAATGGAGAGCAGCTAAAAACACATTCAAGCTGTTAAGTGCATTCATAGCCATGGATATAAGGGAGGTTTCATAACAGTGATGTGGTCTAGCAACTTCTGCCATGAGTTTACTTTACAATGGGGACTGAACTTGTCAATCTTGCTGATTTAATCTAACGTTAACTCAGTAGAAATACTGAAAATTACAAATAATGCTAATTATAACTCAATTCTAAGTAGAAACCATGCATGGAAAACAGAGTAATGAATGCTTTTAACTACAGAAAACATAAGGGAATGGGGTGTGTATATATCAACCTGGCTTCAGGTAAAAGGTCTACAGAACGTGTACTGGCACTAAGCAGCTCACAAATCGCTGAGTCACAGTGCACATGGCTATCTGACACCGCAGGACACAAACGTCATTTTGAGAGCTCTAACAATAGCAACAGACGTAGACATAAGTGACTTTCTGCAGTATCCTTTGCAGAAAACTTTCTCTGCTAGGACTAAACATAGTGCACACATTTTTACCCAATTCACACTTTTGACCTGTTACTTAAGTGTTGTGCAGAAAAAAATTACACATAGCTCTGTCTGCTACAAGCTTCTCATAAACACAAACAGCACATGTTCAGTATAAATGCAGACTGCCACTTCTAAATACAAATGCAAAATAAAGCAAAATGTCCACAACAAACATTGCTCCCAAGTCCATGGTTATTATTACCCATCTTTCAAGTCTAACTGTACAGTCTTGCCATCAGCCAGCGTTTTCCTTTTGACCAAGAAGCAATTCACTGAAGTTTTAAGAACACAGTTATTAGATCAAAGCTTTTGCCAAGATACGCTGTTTAATTGAGACTTTTTAAACAGCTGTATTAAAGTTTAATGAACAGTCTCATAAGAACACCAGGGAAACTGGTCTTAGCAGTGCTTTTCAGAAGACCACACCTCCTAAGTTATCTGGAGCACACCTCTTAAGACAAGTTTATAAACTCTTCACACTAGATTTAACAAAACAAACTCACTCGGGTTACTATCTATTTAAGGCTGAATAATTCTAATTTTGCTTTAAAAACCTGCAGGGGCATAGGTTGAGGTTTACTCTTCAGAGCTTAGAAAAACATAAGTGTACACTAGGTGATGGCAGCTAAAGAAGAGACAGATAAAGAGGAGATGTGCCTCATTGAAGAAGGAAGCCATCCTACTTACGCAGCCCTTTCGATAGCTCCAATCTCACTGGACATGCCCATTCCATAGTAGCAGAGGGCTCCCAGGCCAACAGCAGCCCCTCCAGCAACAACGAACTTCCCCAGGCGATCAGCTGTGGAAAGAAGTAAAAACCACACACTCTCACTGATGCTTCTTCTTGGACAGTTAACAACATCCTCATGGGAATTTTGATGTGTCTGCAATAGCTGCTCCATTTACCCCTCCTTCTAAAAGCCTCACTTAATTTCAAGTCAGTTCACCACCAGTTAAGGTTCAAAGATTCTCAGTATTTAAAGCAGAGCTCCTCTACCTTTAAGTGCAGCGTCTGCAGATGGCTCAAATGCTGCTTCTTTCACTTCCTGGCCAAGTTTTCCACGCCTTGCACCCGTTCTTGCTCTGGTGGCATAACTCTGTTAGATTCAGAAATAACACAACAAATATTTAATGAAATAAAATAGAAGATAGTCTTATCAACTTACTTGCTACACTTAAAATTGTTAATTAATCTCTTATTAATCTGTGCTTACCTTCATATATACGAAGCAACTGTGCTCAAGGAAAATAAGTGAACGTTAAGGTTTAGGAACCTTTGTGAGAAACATTCACATATTATAGAAGTACAGAACCAATGCAGTGAATTCTAGAAGCTGTAATTTTCAGACTGCATTTCTTCTACTCTAATCCCACTGTACTAAAGACTGCCACAAGCCTCCTTCTTAAATACAAAAACATTATTGTTACTTTTTTGTTTTGTAAAAAAGTATTTTGCTTTCTACACCAAAACAACACTCTTTGTGGGAACACTTCAATACAAAAAAAATCTTGCACAATACTTACATTTTACTAAAGCTGGAACACTAAAGACACTAAAGCTGGAAAAGCAGCACAAATTTTTTTGCTTTCAAATCTAACCTTGATTTATAGAAAAAACCTTGAATGAAGGCCTAGAAACTCAAAATTTTTAAGGTCAACAAACTCCAAGTAATTACGCTTCTCAAAGTTTTAGTAAGTTGGAAGAGCAACATAGAATACACTCATATTTAAGTTCAAAAACAACTTCTTAAGTTTTCTGATCATTTTTTACAGGGAATTTTAAATTAAAATTGCATCTGAGCAGTCAAAGACTCACATCAAGCTGTGAATTTGTTTCAACACTAAAATACAGATCTTACAAGCATTACTCTCATCAGCCATTAGAGCACTACAATTCAAGGGGTCTACCAGAGCCCTTCAGTTTGGTTGTGTTTGGCAGCCAATGAAATCCAGCCCAACACCAGAAAACTCACACACACAAAAAATGCATCATGTACCTACAAACTTAGAATGCTTAAGAGGAAAATACAAAGGAAGTGAAGAATTTGCCACTAGCACTTTCATCAAGATCACAAAAGAGCAACAACAGCCCCTAACAGCTCTGAGCTGCAGGTCTGCAAAATCCTCTCTCAATGAAGAGTAAACAGTGTCTCAGGATAATGACAGTCCGGTTTTTAAAAATGCTGGTTAGATCTGTGATTGCCCTGCCACAGCTCAGAAATGGCTCTAACTGAGATTACAGCTCTCAACACATATTGGGACTAAAATAATTGAAAAGGAAGTGTTTATTTTAATGTTACATTTAAGACTCTAACTTGGGAACAGGGAAGCAGGACAAGAATTTCTATTCCTCCTACCTTACCTAGTAAGGTCCATCCATCTCTAACTACTTCTTTTGAGCTCTTTTGCCCATTACTTTCAAGACACAAGTCAGTCATTGAAACAGAAGACTTCATTTCAACTGCGCCAAAACCCCTGTGTTTTGACTCAACAACATTCTTCCTTCAGCAAATTAGAGCAGGGACCTCAAACAAGCAGAAGGGTCAGCACATCAGGTACTCCACGCTAAGTGATTCTTTTGGCAATACACTCAACCCTTTAAAATATGTGCAGTCAGGGCCAACAGAAGGAGAATTACCTTACCTGGCTAGGCTGCCACAGCCTGTATGCTTTTATACTGGAGCTCCTCAAGGCTGGGGAAGCCTGAGTGATGGTGGGGCGGATGGTCTGGCATGGCAGGGCCCTCAGGCACACCAGCCTGGCAGCCAGCATGGTTGCTGAGATAACTTAACACACTGTGCTCCTGCAAATGCACAAGAAAACGTATTTTGCTGTTTTGTTACATGGTTTTAAGACAAGGCACACTTACTACTTATTCTCAACTACAACAGAACTAATAAAAATATCCCAAACCAACTGACCAAAGAAAATCTTTAGTAAAAACAGTATTATCACAAGTACTGTAATAGGAGGTAAAACCTTCTTAAACACAGTTTAATTTTGCTTTACCTGTATTTATCACAGACTTCTCTCTCACAATTTACTCAAAAACAGGAACACCACTTTTCATATGCATAAATTAAATTAAGACTCTTTATGTACTTATGTTTGAGTTACTTTGGCAACTAACCTTTGTTTTGACACACAACACTGCATGGGTACTCTGCTCTCCTAATTTACTTAAAACTCCATATAACTATAAACCAAATGGGCAAACAGCACAATATGTATGACGGAAAAATAGTCAGAGAAAGATTTTAAGCCATCTTTTAAAGAACTGATGAGCTTTACAGGCACAGCATTCAGTCAAGGTCACAGCCCAGAACGCAGGTTCAGATACAATTCTGATCAGAAAACAGTGACACCACTCACAGATAAATGGACACCAGCAGGACCAGCCTGTGAGTTCCGCTGAAAATTGCCAGCTCACTGCCACTAATGGTGCATATCATACAAAAATCCCCAAGGCCTTGGAGTCACTTTAATGTACTTTAATTACAATTGCATACAACCCCTCATATCAGCGCCTTTTTTCACATGACCGGTCATACCTTACGTGTGCAGTGACCGATATAAGCTAAGAGTATTCTAAAGAAAGGCAGGTTTAAATACGAGTGAGAAACAAGCACGCACAGCACTGGACAGCTCGCATTAATCACAGAGGAGTGACAGAGAAGATAACAATCCTGCTGCTAGAAAGTCACTTTGCTCTGCAGCGCAGTTACGAAATGCGGCTCTTGTAACGGGAAGCACTTTACGAGGTACATCGTGAGTGTGCTACTAAACGGAGCCCTCCCAGGGGATGACGAGGTCTGCAGGAACTGAGAGGGCCAACTCCGTGACTTTTACTTTCCTTTTTGGAAACTGGCAAGGTAACTTCAAGCGCTTTATCAAGAGTAAGGAGGGCAGAGAGCCGAAAGCTAAAAACAGAACATTCCCACATATTAACTGGCAGTAGCGTAACGCAGCGCTGGGGAGTCACTGCCGCACCACAGCGCGCACAAACCCCTCCCAGTCTCGGCAGGGCGGCGACCGGCGCCCGCCTCAGCTCGGGCCGGGTCGGACCCTCTCCCACTTTCGGTCCCAACATCGGCCCCGGCCTCAATCCGGCCCAACACCTGCCCCGCACCTGTCCCGGCCCCGCGCGGTCCCCGCCGCCTCCTGCGCGTTCCGCCCCGCTCCGCCGCTGCAGTAGGCCCGGCCCCGGCAGCGGAAGTGACGTCAAGCCGCCGTGTCCCCGCGACTGGCTCGCTCCCCCCACGTGACCACCGGGCCCGCGGGCGCCATTGGCCGGCGCGGCGGTGACGCGCGCGCGGCCGCCATCTTTGACCGGGGCAGCGACGGTTTTGGAGGCGCGCGGTGAGGGCGCGCCGGCAGGGGGCGCGCGCGGGGCTGGTCCCGAGGCGGGGCTGCGCCCGCTCAGTGCCGCGGGAGTGGACGGCGATTAATGTGGGAATACAGCAAAGTGTTGGTACGGTAGGGTAGGAGTACGGTAGGGTAGGAGTACAGCGTTACAGTGCTGCGGGAATAGCCGGGGATTAATGCGGGAATACAGCAGAGTATCGGCACGGTGGGAAAGGGGGGTGTTCAGGAGCACAGCGTTCCAGTGCCAGTCCAATGGATGCGGCTGTTCAGGAGCACAGCGTTCCAGTGCCAGTCCAATGGATGCGGCTGTTCAGGAGCACAGCGTTCCAGTGCCGGCCCGCTGGCGGTGCCTGCACCCACCTCACGGCTTCTGCCACCTCAGAAAGCTCCGGACCTTTGCGCTTCCTTCCCTTAAAGCACAGCACTCTAGCAGCGGGAGGTAAATCTCCCCCTCTGTAACCTCTTCGGAGTTACATCTCTCTTCCTTGTGGATATAGTACATGCTTTAAGGCTGGAGCTCACGGGCCAGATGAGCACAAGAACCGGGGTTGTGTGTGTAAAGTACAAAAGTGGATGCTGTCAACTCTAATCCCAGCCTTGCAGGGGCGCTCCACAGCCCTTCCCAGGGCTAAACATTCCGGTCTGGGCTAAACTATTTCTCGGCTGGCAGCTTCCTTCCAGCCTCACTCCAAATGGAGCTCTGAGATTTCTTCCAAGTTTTACTCTAATCCTAAACTGAGCCTTAGGAAGGACAGAGCAGCGCTTCCCTGGACTATCAAATCCTCAAATTGATACCAGATTTTGCTTTGGGAGCCCCTTCCCAGCTCTACTCCAGCCACAGCTCTGTAGTTTTTTTCAGCCTTAACACTACATATGGCCATGGTTCTTCACTGCCAAGTAAAAGAGACTGTGAAGAGTCCTGCGCAGGATTAAAGACAAATATAATAAAAAAGATGTATTGAATATAGAATTAGGTCAGAAAAAGAATGAGAGTTACAGATACGCTTTCGAGAATTATGAGATTAGCCTTTCTGTATCTCAGAGCCTCCTTGTTTAAACTATAAGAAAAGCAATACAGTGACCTGCTGGTTCACAAAATGAAAGTCAAGATGAGAGAGATCAGATATGGAAGAGGTCTGAAAGTGCACCAGCATATAAGATCTTGAGTAAGAATTTGAATTTAGAAGAATGAAGCAGAAGAATATGTGATGGGTGGAAATTCTATCAGAGGAGGCCAGACCTACTGGGGTTTGAGATTTGATTCTTACTTACTCTGACAATTGTTTGCTTTCTGTTGGAGTAAGTGAAAATCCAGAGCTTTGATGTCTATTGTATTGAGGTCTCCTACAATGCAAGGAAAAAAAAAGTCAGTTTCAGGCCATGAATATGTTGTTTATTTAGAGACTTGTAGTGCTTATTTCAGAGTTTGTAACACTCTATAATTGTTAGGTACTAAAGGATTCATTATAATAATTAATATTTAAATTTATAATTAAGTTATTAATAGTAATAATTTATGCAAGGAGTCAAAGTTACCTCTTTTACTACCGCATATAATCATGTAAAGAACTCTCTTGAGACTTTCAAATAAGGTACTCATCCCAGCTTTTCCCCAAACTGTTTCTTAAATAGATAATTTTGTAAGAAGCAACCCAAATCTACACAGGGCCCACCTTGCAGCAAACTCAGCTATTGAAGTCGTCTCACAGAAATTTGCCTCCTAAGAGATACTCCTTTCCTCCTCGATGTGGAACACCTGGGAATGCTCTACTGGCCAAATCCATGTGTGAGCTGGGCAGCAGTGGCCTCTGATGCCCGAGGAGTTTCTCAGGTGGAAGCTGCAGGTTGGATCCTGTGTGGGAGTGCCCCTGCACCTCTCTTTGGGGCAGGATGGCGATGGCTTCGGTCCCTGTGCCACCCGGGAATGCTGCGGGGCTGCCGAGCTGTGCTTTTGCAGCACTTGGGGCTCCTGCCAACAAGAGCAGGGATAACAGCAGGACACAGGCTTGGCGGGGAGGTGGCAGCCAAATAAAAACTGGCTTTTTAACTCCAAAGCCCTGCTCCTTCATGGGACTGTGTTCAAATGCTGTGTGCATCCCCCACTTGACCTGTTCAGTGCCTTTGAAAGGGCCCGGATGATGGCACAGAGGGGCTCTCAGGTTTGCAGTGGTACAGGACTCACAGGGGTGGGTGCTGCACCGCGTGGCTGTGCTGCCATCCAGGGGAGTCGACTGGCCGGAGAATTGGGCAAACAGGAGTGTCATGCACGTCAGCAAAGGGAAGTGCAGAGCCCTGCACCTGGTGAGGAGCAGCCCCATCCACCAGCACAGGCTGGGGCTCTCCAGCTGGAGAGCAGAACGATGCAGGCTGGAGAGACTGCACAGGGGCGATTGGCTGCCAAGGACGGGCTGGGAAAGGTGGGGCTGCTCCTTCAGAAGAGAGGGCTTAGGGCACTTCATTGTCACACGAAAGGACACACTACATCTCAGAAGGACAATATCCGTTTATGATGCTGTCTTTTTTACCCTCTACAAAGTTTACACTTTATTCATTGGTTACAATAAATCAACATAATGCTCACAAGTGTAAAATCATCTCCACCTCCGTTTTTCCCAAACTTTTCTAAAAATTCTTTTCCCAGCTGCAGATTTCTTCTCACTTCTCTCCTTCACCTTCTCTTCTCAGTCTCCATACCAATGGCATTGGTAAAATTCCCTTCAGCAATAACCGTATCAGTTAACTCTCTCTGGCTCACAGACCAGCTGTAAGCCCTCTCCATACTTCATCAGTGTGTATAAATATCTGATGGCAAGGAGTAAAGGAGCCAGACTCAGTGATTTCTGGTGACAAGACAATCGGCAATGGACCTAAACTGAAATATAAGACTTTTTTTTTTAAGTAAGAATTTTTTTAGTGATTTTTTTATTTTTTACTGTAAGGGTAGTTGAACAGTGGGACAGGCTGCTCAGAGCATTGTACAGTCCTTCTATGGAGATTTTCAGAAGCTGACTGGACATAGTCCTGAGTAACCTGTTTATGCAGGAGGGTTGGCCTAGATCATCTCCAGAGGTCCCTGCCAACCTATTCTACTAGTCTGCAAAGTATTGATGATTCCTGAAAGCTCTGAAGCACTTTGGGCTTTTTAAGGACTGATATACACCAATAAGAGATACTTGGAAAACAGTAACAAGTTGTAAAAAAGGTTATTTTCAAAGCAACAAAAATAGTAGTAATAAAAAGGAAACCTCATGAAGATACTGTTTTTTGAAAATAGGTGAACAAATCTTCAGTAGTCAAAAGTATAAGCAGGAAAACTTGTACTGAAAATTTTTATTTGTACATAAAAATTTCTTACCTTTTTCTTCAATAGGTCACATTTTCAACATGTTTTGCATGTGTTGGAAATCTTACATTTCTCTAGAGAAGATCAAATATAGT